CATCTCATCAGCCCCTGTAAGTTGTTATATGTGTACATTATAGAACTGTAGCATTAGCCACTCATTTGTCCCCTGCCTTGATCCTTCAAAAATTACTTCCCAGCCAGGCATGACAGTACATGACCATGATCCTAACACTTGGGAGGTAAAGGCAAGAAGATTAGGAATTTATGGTTTATGTATCCTTGGCTACATAAATGAGTACAAGGCCAGCCTGGGCAGCATTAGACTCTGCCACAAAGAAAAATAAAATGAAAGTTTGGCTGGGCCAAGTGGCACACTTTCAATCCCAGCACCAAGGAGGCAGAGGTAGGCAGGTCTCCCAGAGTTTGAGGCCAGGCTGGTCTACACAGCAAGTTCCATGCCAGCCAGGGCTATAGAGATCTTGTCTCAAAAACAAAACAAAAATCAAAATAACCTACTCCCCTTCCCTAAGTCTTTTGTGACAGCTGCATTCTAATCCTTCTGTCCAGCACCCTAAAATCTCAAGAATCACCACACATCAATGATTAAGATGGTCGCCTCTAAATACTGTTTCCTTAGGCTTACAGAACCCCCCAAAAATCTGTTGACCTTCAGATGACATCAGAACTTGCACTGCTTCTCCTTACTCTTCAGCTCTACACACTGGACTAATATAGAACAAGCAAACTGCTATGTGGTTTGGCTTGCAGAAAAGTAACAAGGTCTCTGAAAGGGAACAGAGGAAGTCGCCCCAGGACATCTAAGTCCTCTCTAAGCTTCCACAAAAGGAAAAAAGAGTGGCTCTGGGATGAAAACCCAGTTCAGGAAGCCTGTAGCCTCCCGCCAGCTGTCTCCCTGCACCTCCTTTACTCCTCTGAAAACCTTTTACGAGGCTGGAGAGATGCTCAGCGGTTAGGAGCACTGGCTGCTCTTGCAGAGGACCTGGGTTTGGTTCCCAGCACCCACATGGCAGCTAACAACAGTCTGTAATTCCATGTAGTACACTTACATGCATGCAGGCAAAATGCTCCTACACACTGAAAAAAAGAAAAAGCCAGGTGTGGTGGGGCACACCTTTAATCCCACGGAAGCAGAGGCAGGTGGATCTCTGCCTCTGCCTCCGAGTCCTTGGACTAAAGGTGTGCACCACCATGCCCAGCTAATAAAAATAAATATTTACAAAGATATTGCCTTGATAATACTGTCAGATAAATGTACCCAAAAGCATAAGGAAATTAACTACAGCAAATGTTTATAAAAATGAAAGTTCAGTGTGCGTGCACATCAATAAGAAAACTGTTAACATAGCAAGCTGCCGACATAAGCTGCTATCTGACTCCGAGGCTGACTCACCGTCAGGCAGGCTGCCTCTCACTGGGAAAGTATGTGGGCTCACCCTGGAGTGAGCCAAGCTGTGGAGCCAGGTCCTGACGCTCCCTAGCAATGGGGCCTCCAGCAAGGCCCTTTTCTCTCACACTCATTTTTCTGCATCTCTTAAATGAGGAAGAGGGGAGGGCTGGGCTGAGAGATATTAATCAGGGGGAAACAAAGCCTGGTACACAGTGGCCCAAGGTCAGTGCCAAGTGTCTTTTTTTTTTTCCTTTTTAGTTTTTCTGTGTGTATGCATATGATGAGGCCAGAAGTCGATATCAGGTGTCTTCCTCTAGCACTCTCCACCTTATTTATTTATGCATTTATTTATTTACTTTGGAGCAGAGTCTCACTATGTAGCCCTAGCTGCCCTAGAACTCACTATGAAGACCAGGCTAGCCTCAAACTCACAGAGATCTGCCTGCCTCTGCTTCCCAATGGCTGGATCAAAGGTGTGCACCACCATGGTCAGCCTCTGCCTTACTTTTGAGACAGGATCTCTCACTGAGCCAAGAGCTCACCGTTCTGGCTAGGCTGACTAGTCAAGGAGCCCCGGGGATCTCCCTGTCTCCCCAGCACAGAGGTGAATGATACACCACCGTACCCAGCTTTCATTATGGGTGCAGGGATCTGGACTCAGGTCCTCATGCTTGTGGGGCAAGAGTCTCACTAAGTAGCCCTGGCAGGCTTTGAGAGAAGCTGGGGTTACAGTCCTGCACCACCACAACCGGCTCTTAACATACCTCAAGAACACCAGTATTTTGTTGTGTGGGGTCCTTAACTACTTCCCCCAGCTCTGCTCCCTTCTCTGCTAATTAAGTTTAAAATACTTCAGGCTGGGATGGTGGTGCACGATGTTAATCTCGGCATTCGAAAGGCAGAGTTTGAGGCCAGCCTGGTCTACACGGTGAGTTTCAGGCCAGCCAGGGTTGCATAGTGAGACTCTGCTCCAAAAGAAATAAATACATAGATAAAATGTAAACAGAATGCTGGGACTATGGCTTAGTGGTGGAGTGCTTATCCAACATGCATAGGTTCAGTCTCTAGCACTCCAGTACCAAACTTGAGGATCTGAGTTCAGTCCATATGGTCCACATTGTGGAGAGAAGCAACTCCTGAAAATCATCCTCTGACCGCCATGACATCAGTACACACACACACACACACACAGAGGCGGGGGAGGTTTCTAAAAAGCCTACCTTAAATCAAAACAACTCAGTTCCGTGGGTAATTCTAGTGGATCCAGAAGCTGTAGGTATCTGTCTAAACAGCCTCCTATTCAGCCATTGCCTACCCCTTATCCTCAGTGTACACTCAAGGTAAACAACCTGTGCTTTCCTTCTCCGTGCTTTGGTTATACAAATCCTCTTAGAGGCTGGGGATTTGTCTCCGTTAGCAGACTGCTTGCCTAGCGTGCATGAAGCCCTAGGTTCAATCCCCAGCACTACATAAACTGAGGGTAGTGGTGCAAGCAAGTCAGAAGGTAGGATAGGAAGAGAAGGATCAGGAGGTTCAAGGTCAGCCTCCTCCAACACAGAATTCTCAGCTAGTCTGGGATACATGAGAGCCTATCTCAAAAAACACAAAAAAAAAGGCGGTGGGGAGGGGAGCTAGCTCAGTTGGTAAACTGTTTACCACACAAGCCATGAGAAGCTGAATTTGGATCCCCAAATTCATGTAAAAAAGATGGAAATGCCAGTGTGTGCCCGTGATCTCAGTGCCAGGAAAGGAGAGGCAATGTCAGTATGTGTCAGTGACTCCAGTGTTGGGGAAGGACAGGTACAGCCAGGCAGGTCCCTGGGGCTTGCTGGCCAGGTAGTCCAGCTGAATCTGTGAACTCCAGTTTCAGTGAGAAATTTTGTCTCAGAAAATAAGGCGGAGGGGCTGGTGAGACAGCTCAGTCAACAAAGACGTTTGCTACCAAGGCTGACAACCTGAGTTCAATCCCTTAGACCTATATGGTACAAAGAGGGTACTGACTCCTGCAAGTTGTCCTCTGACCTCCACACGTGCCATGGCATCAATACACACACACACACACAAAACACACATATACATGTTGCCATGGCATCAGTACACACACACACACACACACACACACACACACACACACACACACACACACACAATAAGATAATAAAAAAAATAAGTGGAGAAGCAATTGGAAACCGAAGACACCCAACACTGGCCTCTGGCCTCCACATGAATGTGCACCTGCATGCATACACACACATATCTGCATACACACAAATATTCTTGGCTTTAGACTACCAGCTATTTTCCCAACTGCTGTTTAGGCTTGCTGCTGGAAGTTGGCAAAACTTGTCCCTTTATTTCTTGGGTTCACTAAATCTTTTGAGAGTCCTAAGTCCCAAGAGTTTAGATTTCACACCACCACATCTCAAACGAAGGCATAAACCACAGAACTCAAGGCAGTCTGTGTCAACAGTGCTTAGCTTTGAGAAACAGTCTATATAGCTCAGACTGGACTTGAACTGGTGGTCCTCTTGCTTGAGCTTCCTGAGTGCTGTGATTACAGGCAGGTGTCACCATGCTCAGGTCCTGATTGGGGTTTTCACCAAGGCCATCTTGGCACCTAGAGAAATAACTGCACCTAGCCCTCCAAGCAGGCAGCTGAGGATCAACCATTATCATCATTGTAGATCACAAAGTAACACCAGCACAGGGTGCTGCTATGCACCAGAGCACAGCCAGCGACTCTCAACCACTTAATGCTGACAACCACAAGGTAGGGTACCATGATGCCCATTTAACAAACCAGATCATAGAAGCAGAGTACAGAGGGATCTGGCCAAGGCCCCAGCCAGTGCTTTAGGGATAGAGAAACAGGATCAGATGTGGACCCTCTTCTACTGGCTACCCATTGGGTTGCTTAGGTTATGTCAGTATGTGCATGTGTCATCATTTATATACAGATACATATAAGGTTTTGGGGGGGACATGGTCTCATTAAGTAGCCCTGACTGGCTTGGAACTTTAGGCTGGCCTCAAACTCAGAGATCCACATGCCTCTACTTCCCACGTACTAGGATTCAAGGCTCACACCACCAATTCCTAACTTTTTTTTCAAGTTTGAGGACAATTAGGATATAAGGGCGATCTGGCTGCGACATCTGTCACCCCATTGATCGCCAGGGTTGACTGGCTGATCTGGCTGGCTAGGCGGGTGTGCCCTTCCTCCTTCAATGCTCCATGTGCATCCCTCCCGAAGCTGTGTGCTTGGTTGAAGAGGACAACGTTCCCCGAATAGAGGAGGGCCGATCTTCGGTCAAGGATATACGAGTAGTTGTGCTCCCCTGCTAGAACCTCCAAACAAGCACTCAAGTTTGAGGACCATTTTTAAAATTTATTATTTTATGTGTATGAGTGTTTTGCCTGTATGTATGTAATTGCACACATGCCATACAATGGGGAAGCCAGAAGAGGGCATCAGATCCCCAGGAACTGAAGTTCATGTGGTTGCTCGAACCCGGGTCCCTTGCAAGGGCAACCAGGGCTCTTAACTGCTGAGCCAGCTAGACTTTTCTTTAGTTCGCACAGCTTGGCTGACCTGGACCCTGCCCGCCTGTCTGTCAAGGTCCAACAGGATCTCGCCCCTCGGCCAGCTCATTCCTATATGCGCAGCACTCACTCAGCTCAGGCCGCTTCGACCTGTCGCTATCCCTGAGGAGGCGGGACTCGAACCCAAAATCTCTGGATCCGCTTGTCCCGCCATACACTAGCCCCGCCCAGAAAAACAATGCGCTTGCGCACTGCCAGCCACACCGAGCTCTCGTCTCTTTCCGTAATCCGCATGAGTGAAGTCAGCCACCTCCATCTACGCATGCTCAGTCTGGCGCGCGCATTGTGTACTCGCGCGCGCCCTATTCCGCAGCGCATGCGCATTCAGCCGCGCGGGCCTGACTTGTTTTACCCGGAGCTGCTTCCTCCTCCTCCTCTTCCTCCTCCTCCTTCTCCGCTGGGCACTTCCGGGACGCCGAGGCCTGTTCCAAAGTAGCCGGCACCTGCATTTCTGTCTCTCTGTCTCTGTCTCTGTCTCTCTATCTCACGCTCGGGTCCCTCCAGAGTCGTTTACTAGGCAGGGTTTGCCGTGGAACTTACCCGCCCCCCGTGTTACTCCCGTCACTCAGAGCGCGCAGGAACCAATCAGCAGTCGCCTTAGGTAAGTGGGCTCCGGGGGCCCGTGGGAGGCGTGCGCGCCGATGGGGGGCGGGGCTTGGAGGGTGGGGCATAAGTTGGCCCCGCCCCTTCTATGCCATTAAAAGTCGCTGAGTAGGAGCCGCGAGGGCAGCGAATCAAGCACGCAGTTGGCGGGAGATGCCAATAAGTAAATGTAAACTGAAGATTCCTTAAGGTGTCCCTATAGATCTGAGACAATCAATAATATAGGGAGGAAATTTCTGGAAATACCGCTGTAGAAGCCCGACACACACTCTTAAATATTCTAGGGCTGCCTTCCAAGAAAGGTATAAATGGAAATTGTGTTTTGGGGGACCCCGTAGAAGAGCCTCCAAATACATGGGTCTAAATATTAGGGAGTCCTTAGGAAAATGGGTAAGGAGGTCTGGATATGGTGGCTCACGTGTGCCTTCGTACTCTGTGGGTTCGGAGGCAGGAGAATGCTGTGAAACAGCCTGGTCTATGGAATGGGATGGTGTCTGGGAGAGGAGGGAAATGTGTAGGCTATGAAGTTCTGGGGTGTGGGGTGCCTCAAGAGAAAGGGCATGATTAGTGCACAGCTAGGACTTGGGAGTCTCCTAAGCAAAAGCACTTTGATGCTGGAAGATTCTCCAAAAGATGTGTAAGGAGATGCCTAAGAACTGAGGGGGAGACAGTCTGTAAAGTGATTGCAGTGTAGGTATGAGGACCTGAATTTGATCCACAGAGCCCGTGTAAAATGCCAGGGGTAGTGGAACATGTTTCTAATCCCAGCACTGGGGAAGCAGAAGCAGGCAGACCCACCGTCTACCTTAATTGGCAAGCTCCATCACTCTGAGAGACCCTGTCTCAAAAAACAAGGTGGTCAGCTCCTGAGAAAGTCACCCAAGGTTGATCTTGGACCTCCACATGCATGTGTACACACATGTATATGCATCCACCTACACAAACACCCTTCCCCCCCAAGAATATATGAGTTAGACTTTATTTCTAGGAGCCCTGTAAGTAAACAAGAGAGGCTTTGTAAGTTTGCAGGGAGGAGGTCTCCTCCCAAAACCCTGGAAACAACATTAGGGGTCCCCAGATTGTATGTACTTGGCCTTAGGTTCTGAGGCAGGCTCCCCATGGGGGCAGGGAATGGACAGTTGAGCTTTGAGGTTTGCACAGTAAGAGGGAAACAGACAGTTAATTGCAGAGGAGGAAGGAGCCCTGGGTTGTGGAGAGTCCCCGAAACTGTAAACGGTCATTTAAGAGCTGAATCACTCCCCATAAGCACCTGTTAGCAGGCCGTTGCCCTCCATCTAAAAGGGCAGTCTGCAGCCCAGTTTATGGCTAGGAACAGGTCACTAGATGTGAGAGGGGCTAGACAAGCTGGCAAAATTACTCCTTTAGTTCTAGAGTGTGGTGCAGGAATCTGTTGATGTCATTGAATCCTCAGGTGGGGATGGGGAGAGCACACTGTAAAGGACCAGAGAACAGGTCATGCTGCCTAGGTCACCACTACCCGCTTGCCAGTGGATAATGGCAGCCATAGGGGCCAGAGAGATGGCTCAGTGGTTAAGAGTACAGGTTGCTCTTGCAGAGGACGTTGGTTCCGGTCCCAACAGGCATCTGTAACTCCCGTTTCAGGAGAGCCAGTGCCCTCTTCTGGCCTCTGCAGGCATTGCATGACACAGTTGCATTTAGATACAGTCAAAACATTCATACACAAAATAAAAATAAATAAAAAGAAAGCACCCATAGGCACTTTGTAAATGGGTGGGGCTGTGTTCCAATGAGACCTTGTGTTTGGAAAAACAGAAGATGGGCCAGATTTGGTCTGTAGACCACAGTTTGCCAGTCTGACCCCTGAGCTGGAACAGGCAGCCCCATATGGTCCTGTAGACAAGTACTCAAAGGTTTCCCTAGCCTACAGATGCTCCATGGGGAGAGATCTGGAGGATTTGGAGAGTGGGCCGCATAGGGAATGTACATTCCTAACATCTTAAATGGATGAGACCATGGAGAGACCTTTGAAGTTCAGGGTCGGGGAGGGCAGGCCATCAGGAACAGAAGGTTAGCACACTGGAATGGAATGGGACCCGATAGGTGAAAATGGGTCCATGGGAGCCAGAACCCAGCCCACTCATAAATACACACACACACAAACACACAGTTACATACATGGTTAATGAAAAGAACACTTATCTAACAGGATTTTGTTAACTGATTTGTGAGAAAACGACTTGCATTTGGGGAACAACACTATACCACTTTGATATGACTCTGCCCTGTAAGTCGTATTTCTGTTGGAGCTTTTCAGTAGTTATACATAGTTCTGGTTACAAATAAGAGATAGAAATACATGTTTCTCACCAGCTTCAGGGGTAGGCAACTTAAAGTTTATATGGGATTAAAGCTTGTGTCTTGTTTTACCATGCTTTCTGTTAAGTTGCCTTGAAGCTCAAGGTGGCTGCCTGAGCTCTGGCCTCCACATCCACATTGCTTTCAGTCGAGAGGAGAAGGCAGAAGGCCTGTACCTTTTTCCAAATGCTGCCAAACCATGCTCTCTCCTAACATTTGCCAGAAATATTTAATGGTGTGGCCACATCTAACTGCAGACATAACTGAGAATTATTTTCTGGATGGTGTGTGCTAACACCTCCTGCAGAACAGAGGGTTTCCTATTGTGGAAGAAGCAGGGAGAAAATACTGGAAGCCATCTGGCAGTTAGCTGTCACCACAGAACCCCCTTTGGGTTTGTTTCATTTTTTATTATATGTATATGTGTATGCCTGCATGGGGGCTTGTGCACATGAGTGCAGTGTCCATAGAGGCCATAAGAGGGCGTCTGATCCTGTGGGGTTGCAGTTAGAGGCTGGTGTGAACTGACTGATGTGCTGGGAATCCAACTGAGGTCCTCTGCAAGAACACAGTACATGCACTTAACCACTGAGCCATCTCTCTAGCCTGTTTGTTTTTTGTTTTGATTTTATTTCTATTTATTTGTCTTCTCTAGGCAGGGTCTCCCTGTAGCCCTATCTGGCCTGGAAGTTGCTATGTTGACCAGGCTGGCCTGGATCTCACAGAGATCTGCCTGCCTCTACCTCCTGAGTGCTGGGATTAAAGAGGGTACCACCACACCCCTCTGTCCCGTTTGTCTTTGAATTTTTAAAATTTATTTATGGAGGGGCAACTTTCAGGAGTCCGTTCTCTCCTTCTGTCATGTGGGTCCTGGGGATTGAACTCATATCCTCATGCTTGGCAGCAAGCACCTTTACTCACTGAGCCATGTTGTCAGCCCCAGAGCTCTTTTTTGCAAGGAACAGCCTTCATTCAAGTCCTGAGTGAGCCCTGTGAAGAGGGGAGACTGGGTCTGCACTGAAACCCCGTCCTTCCTCTAGGTGGCCATGTCGGAGTCAGGGCACAGTCAGCCTGGTCTCTATGGAATAGAGCGGCGGCGACGGTGGAAAGAGCCGGGCTCTGGAGGACCCCAGAATCTTTCTGGGCCTGGCAGTCGGGAGAGAGACTACATCGCACCCTGGGAAAGAGAGAGACGGGTGAGTGTCTAGACCCAAGTGTAGCATGTGTAGGTCCTGTGGCTCTATGAGTGCTTGTGATACCCTGTACCTGTGACCAAAACTGCCCTGGTGGGGTGAGGTGGAAAAGAATAATGAGACTGCTTTTGATGCCATACAGGGAAAAGGCCTCTGAAGAGGTGACTGGAACCGAGGGCTGAAGGAGGTGTGGGGGGAAGCCACTCCAGATCTGAGTTGAAGGACATTCTAGGTAGAACAGCTAGTGCAAAGGTCCTGGAGTGGCTGGGATATGGTGGGCTCCAGCAGGCGGTGTGGCTGCGGTAGACGAAGGGGCATGAGAGGAGACGGGGTCAGGTCCTGATGGGTCTTGGAAAGAACTCGGGACTTCATGGAGCAGAAGTACGTTGAAGGGGAAGTGCTGGGCCAGGGCTGACTTGAACTCCTATTCGAAAGAGTTGACCACCACCATCCACAGCAGTTTTAGGTCACCCAGCAGCATGTGTGCTTGCTCTGGGCAGAGTGCTGCCGTTCCGTGGGTCTTCTCAAACCCTCACAGGCACCCTATGACCACTAGCACACACAGCCCTCAGGGGAACATGCCGTCTTCCCAGCTTTTGTCAGCCGAAGTTCCTGAACAAGCAGCCGTGCGTTGCACCTTTGTCCCGGGCTCTGCACTCCTGTGGTCCGCATACCCCAGTTGACCCTGCTTCTTCCCGCCATTTCTCCTGCTTGTGTTTCTCCTCCCGCTGGGCCTCCTTCTGGCTGTCTCCTCCATCCCTGTCCTCTGTTTGAGTCCCACACCCCTCATGAGCACGCCTGTCATCTCCCTACCCTTAGCCTCCATCCAAAATGTCACTCATTCCTTCAGCCTTTTAGAATTCTGGCCTGTCATCCTAGGGTCTTCCCTTGGAGCTCTATTCCCTGCCAGAGTACTCTGCGCTGATCCTGGGTTTTGTTCTCTGTGACCCAGGGAGTGATCGGAGTTTAAGGAGAAACAGGCCTGGTGAGGCTCCACAGTGACCCCTGGGCAGGAGCAGGCCTGGGGCACAGGTCACACCTTCTAGTCTGGGGGTGGTCAGGAGTGGGAAGAGGACAGCATGTGGGGAGCAGCCCACCAACCTTCAAGAGCAGAGGCAGGGCCAAGGGGACTTGGCCATCAGGGTAGCCAGGCCCCCAGCAGCTCTCCCAGTACAGCTCCTGCCATGTGACAGGTGGCGTCCTATAAGGAAGGCGCTCCTGCCCCACTCCCACAGTTGAGCACCAAGGTAGGGTGGGTGTGGCTCTTGCCCTGGCAAGGTTCAGACCGAGTTGTAGAGCCCCCCACCAGGCCCCTGCTCCTTCCCGTGGGCTTGGCAGCTGGCTGGAGTGAAGATGGCGCACCGCAGCCAGGCGGCCTGGGTTCAGATCCCTACCTCCATTGCTCACTCAGCCTCTCAGTTTCTCTCTGTTATGTGGGAATAGTAATAGCACCCGTCTGTCAGGGTTGTTGGGAGGGTGGAAGGCAGTGTGCAGGCTGGAGTGTCCAGGGAGCAGCTCCAGTGACCCATCGCCCTCCCTCTCTACAGGATGGCAGTGAAGACCCAAGTGCCACTGTCATGCAGAAAACCCCCATCATCCTCTCAAAGCCCCCAGCAGAGCGGGTGAGTAGTGGGAGCCCTGGGAATGGAGGCAGGGAGGAGCAGTGGAGAGGACTTCCCCCATGGATTCCAACCTTCTCACTTCCACAGTCAAAGCAGCCGCCGCCACCCACAGCCCCGGCCGCACCACCCGCCCCACCCCCCCTGGAGAAGCCCATTGTGCTCATGAAGCCCCGAGAGGAGGGGAAGGGGCCTGTGGCAGGGACGGGGGCCTCCACCCCTGAGGGCACTGCCCCACCACCCCCTGTAGCCCCTGCGCCACCCAAGGGAGAGAAGGAGGGGCAGAGACCCACACAGCCTGTGTACCAAATCCAGAACCGGGGCATGGGCACCGCTGCCCCCACTGCCATGGACCGTGAGTGACCCTAAAGGCTGGGTAGGGATGGGCTCCCAGCCCAGCATACCCTCACCATTCTGTCTCCTCCCTGTCTAGCTGTGGTGGGTCAGGCCAAGCTCCTGCCCCCTGAACGCATGAAGCACAGCATCAAGCTGGTGGACGACCAGATGAACTGGTGTGACAGTGCCATCGAGGTACAGCTGCCCAGCCTTCCTTAGGTCCCACCTCCTTCCCACACCTCCAGAACAGCCCTCAGGAGCTGCCAGAGGCTCTCACCCAGCCAGGCCCGTATTTTACCCAGCTTGCTGTGCTGGTGGTTGAATGTCTACAGATTTTGTTCTTGGTGGGGGTGTGTATATGGCACTGAGGATTGAACCCAGGGTCTCAGACATGCTGGGCAAATGTTCTGCCCTGAACTACAGCCCCAGAATACTTTTTTTAAAAAAAATATTTTATTATTTTTATTTTATGTGTATGAGTGTATTGTCTGCATGTATGTGAGTGCACCTGTGTCATGCAATGCCTCGGAGGTCAGAAGAGGGCTTCGGATTTCCCTGGAACTGGAGTTAAGGACGGTTTGTAGCCACCATGTGGGTGATGGGAATCAAACCCGAGACCTCTGCAAGAGCAGTCAGTGCTCTTAACCGCTGAGCTATCTCTCCAACCCAGCCCTAGACTTCTTTTAAAAATAAAATAAAAAATTAAAAAAAAAAAACAGGGTCTCGCGAGGCATGGTGGTACATGCCTTTAATCCCAGTACTCAGGAGACAGAAGCAGGTAGATCTCTGTGAGTTCAAGGCCAGTCTGGTCTACATAGCGAGTTCCAAGCCAACTTGGACTACAGGGAGACCCTGCCTCAAAAAGACCAAAAATACCTAAATAAAAAATAAATAAAGCAGTGTCTCACTGAGTTGCCCAGGCTCGCCTGGACTGACCGTCCTCCTGCCTCAGTTTCCTGAATAGCTGGGATGGCAGGCCTATGCCACCAGGCCCAGTTGAAACCCTGACATGCCTTGGTGCCTTTTGGTAGAGAGGTGTGCTTCCTGCCACCCAGATGGCCAAGACCCCCTATGCCATCTCAAAGCAGAGGTGTCTCCTGACCCTATCCTGTTACTCTTCCTCAGTGGTCCAGCTCCATGCTGTCCCCATGGAGTCAGCTGGAGGACCATCCCAGCAGACCTTGCTTTGCTAGGGCCCTGCATTGCTGGGCCTGGCACACCTACCTCCAGTCTCTCATATGCTTTTTCTGCCCCTACAAAGACTCTCCCAGGGCTGTCTCCCTACCCCACCCCTCATCCTTGCATCCTGAGTCTGTTCAACTTCCAGGCCTTGTATGACCTGGCCCTTACTCCAAGATCCAGACAAATTGGCACCAGCTGGGATGCTTTAAAAAGAAAAAGAACCAGTGACCATGCCTACCCTCCACTGCCAAGTGGCTCTGTCTGTAGTGATAAAATTGCTCTGCGCTACCTAGTTAGTACGGTGGCCTCTATGAGCACTTGGCGTTGTGACCCGTAAGGCTAAAGAACAGAATTGTCAATTTTGTTTTATTTTTTATTAACTAGCTGCATGTGATCTGTGCCTCCCATAATGAACGCACAGCCCTGGGTGTTCTGTTTTAAAGTGCTCATTAAGTCCCAGTCAGGGCCAAGGTTCCCGTTTTGTTTTTTTAAGTCCTTCTGGGGATTCTGAGGCTCAGCCAATAGAGCTTCTAGCCTTTAGAAGGTCTCCTGTGCCCCCTGGCGGTGAAGGTCAGCTAAGCTGATAGCTCTAAGGCAAAGGTCTCCAAGATCTCTGCTCCTTCTGTGCGTACACTCCCTTAGGGACCTTCCGTAGATAGTTCTGTCTTTGTCCCTTTCTCCTCTCCCAATCACGCTGGCCTTTTCTCCGCTGCTTCCCAGCCCCTCTCATTCCCCCATCCAAGTACTGACCAGGCCTGACCCTGCTTAGCTTCTGAGTCAGCCGAGATTGGGCACAGTCAGGATGCAGTGGCCATCCACTTCCTTCTGTTTTCCGACCACACTTTCTTTTCTACCTCAGAGTTCTCACAGGTGCTATGTGGGCCCAGAACATTCCACACAAACCCTCCACAACACAGAACAGAGGCCCTCTGCCCAGATGAGAAGATGGAGACTAGAAGTTTTTCCTCATCTCTGACAAAGTGGGTGGGTGAACCCCAGCTCACTCTGCCAGTATCTGCAAGGCTTATGAGCCTCACATGCCCCCTTCCCCCCACAGTACCTGCTGGATCAGACTGATGTGCTAGTGGTCGGTGTCCTGGGCCTCCAGGGGACAGGCAAGTCCATGGTCATGTCACTGCTGTCAGCCAACACTCCAGAGGAAGACCAGAGGTGAGCGCCATCATGGGGGTGTGGGTGCAGGAGGCCAGGGAGAAGTGGCTAACCACGGGGAGCGGGGTCTGGGTGCTGTAAACCAAAGGGCTTCGAAGAAGCTCCCCTCTCAGGCTAACTTCATGGAGAGGGTGAGTCCATGTGGGCTGGCTGAGTCTAGCTCCCAGCCAGGAAGTGGGATGATGTAGTCATTAAAGCTTTCCATGGAGGCTGCCTCAGGCTCGGCTTGTTACTTCTTAGCTGCTTGTTGGCAGTTACCTCTCCCCATGTTCTAGTGGGGTTTTGGAGGGTGCAGCAGCACCTGGCATGGAGCCCAAAGTTAGGACGGTGGCTGGTGATCTGGGATGACAGGACAGGGAACAATCTAGACATGGGGCAGGTTCTGAGTAAGTCCTGGTCCTGCTAGTTTACATTGGGAAAAGGCTCTGCCTCTCTGGGCTGTGAGGAGTCCCTGACCTACTTTTCAGTAGGGGGATAGGGGGCTATTTACAAAGATAAAGGGTGAAGTTAGAGGAGGGGATTTTGGAAAGAGGGAACTTAAGACATGTATCTGATGCTGGGGGCAGAGAAGTTCATGACTCAAAAGACAGGAAGCCTCTCCCCTAGAAACAGGTCTCCAGGGACAGATGGGACAGGTGACTCTGTCACCCTAATATGGGCTATACATTAACCTAGCCCCACACCCCTACCGAGACAATGACTTGTTATATATCATTAGTTGTGTATGCCCCACGCCCCTTCCTCTGTTATCAGCCACACTCTCTACCTCTTGCCAGAAAGCTGATGTGACTCCGTGCCTCTCTTGAACCTCCTCTCCTCTCCTCTCCCTCCCTAAAACCTAACAAGAAGGAAGTGGAGAGGCAGGGGTTAGGGACTGGGGACCTTTAGATTTAACAAAGACTCAGGATAGGGGTGGGAAGGATAGGGGCCACTAGAGACAGCAGGGAGCAGAGGTTTGGGTTGCCCACAGAAGCTAGGGTTTGCTTTGTACAGGAGATGGCACCTTGCCGCCTCAGATGGGTATCGGGAGCCCTGAGCCCAGACAGTATGTGCAGTTTTGACACCTCCACAGATGGCTTTTATTGTTGGCACTGTGGGACTTTGGGGGTTTTTGTGTTTTATGTGAATGAGGGCTTTTCTGCAGGTATGTAAGTGCACCCATGCCAGATCCCCTGGAACTGGAGTTTAGGATATTATTAGTCATCGTGTGAGTGCTGGGAACTGAACCTAATTTTAGAGTCTCCATCTACTCATTCAATCTACGTGCCTATCCTCATACCAGGACCAATTTTAATATAGCATTATATTAAGGTCTAAAACTGAAGAGTGAAAATCCTCCATTTTTGCTCCTCTTTAAATAATTTTTTTATTATTTTCTGTGTATGAGTGTTTTGTCTACATGTCTATAAGTGCACGTGTGTCATGCAGTATTCACAGAGGTCAGAAGAAGACATTGGATCCCTTAGAACTGGAGGTTACAGACATTGTTAGCCATCATGTGTGTGCTGGGAACTGAACCTGGGTCCTCTGCAAAAGCAGACAGTGCTCTTAACTGCTGAGCCATCTCTCCATGTTTGTTTTGTTGAGACAGTGTCTTACCTATGTATCCCAGGCTGGCCTCAAACTCGTTATGTAGCCGAGGCTGGCCTCTGTCTTACAACCTCTGTTTAGTGTCAGGTTTTTCTTCTAAGGAAAGGGCCCTTGGTTCTCCCCAGGTCTGAGGGCCTGATGGAGACCCAGGGAAGGTTAGGAACTGCTGTTGCCTGGGCCTGGATTTAAAAGGTCCCTGTGCCTCCCTCCAAGGTCAATTCCTCTTTTGCTCACCTATACCTTCAGCTCAGCTGTGCTTTGGAGCTGCTCCAGCTCTCAGATGGCTTTCTTACTATGTCCGCTTTCACCAGCCAGCAGAGCTCCCCTGTGCTCTCAATCCAGGTTCTTGGACTAGAGAGGATCACCTCTTTGAGTCATGTCATCTTATTGCCTGTGGTAGACTGGTTCTGACTCTCTTCATCAGCTCCTGGAGTTTTATCTCATTCTCTTTATGATGCATCTCCCTCATGCATGCCCAGCCCCTGGTCCAAGCCACTGTCTTCCCTGGAGGATGCTGAGAACCTCCTGCCCTCTCTGTCTTCTTTCAATTCAGCAGCTGTGTCCTAGATGCTTCCTGTGCACAGGCCACCGTCCTTGGCTCCACAGTGCATGTGACTGACTCTGCTTCGTGCGCTTGTGTTTAATGGGAGGTTGTAAAGAGAATCGATTTGGCATGTTAGAAGATGAAAACAGGCTGATATGGTGGCACATGCCTGTGATCCCAGCACTGGAGAGGCAGAGGCAGGAAGATTAAGATCAAGGTTGGCTGGAAAGGTGGCTCAGCAATTAAAAACAATGGCTTTTCTTGCAGAGGACCTCGGTTCAGTTCCCAGCACCCACATGGCAGCTAATAGCTGTCTGTAACTCCAGTTTCAGGGGATCCTGCAGCCTTTTCTGGCCTCTGCGGGTATTGCACACACATGGTCCACTTACATACATGCAGGCAAAACACTCATACACATACAAGAAAAAAATTTTTAGAATTCAAATTCAGCTACACACTAAGTTTAAAGACAGCCTGAGCTACATGAGACCTTGTCTCAAACAAACAAAAATAGTTATACCAAAAGGCTAGGTTACAGCTTTAAATTTGGCAGTGAAGGAAGGCCTCAATGAGGAGAACAGACTCCCAGGGTGCAGAGTGTTCAGTGAGAGGGAGGCAGACTCGAAGCCTTAGAGGTGTGCAGAATAGCTCAGGCTGAGGAGCAGAGCAAGTAGGGAGGGGAGTCCGTGGCTCGGCTGCACAGCGCTTGCCTAGCATGCTGCAGCAGAGGCCCTGGGTTCCGTTCTTCACACTATAGAGAAACGGCAGAGAGAAGGTCGGAGGAGGTGAGGCCTGAGGAGATGCCGTGCCACTGGGCCTGCTGAGCTGCTCTCCATTCTTTCCCTGGCATCTTTGCCGTGCTTCAGCAAGGGCAGCTTTCCAGACCGGAATCTGCTGTCACCCCTGCTCACCAAGGCACCTCTGGCTCATAGACCCCCTAACCCCAGCTCCTGTCTGCACCTCACGAAGAGGGGCCTGTGTGGTCTCTGCTTGCTGCCACCCCCCTTGCCCCTGCCTGTGCTTACTACTCTTCCCAGTCCTGCTCTTTGTGCAGCCTCTGCCTTTGGCCTGAAATAGCCCTGGTCTACATTTATCCACTCTCGCACACACATCCTACTTGCCTCCTGCTTCCTCTCCCTCCTCAGGGCTGCCCTTTCCAGCTCCACCGCCCCATCATCCTCATCCCCTGCTCCCTTATCCCCACACTTACAGGCCATCCTGACTGGTGAGCACAACAGAAGCACCATGTTGCTGAGGCTTTGTCTCCTGCTCACTGCTCTACCTGGTGCCGCCCGGGTGGGAAGTTTTCTGTAGTATCTGCCAAGTGGGAGAACAGGCATCTTCAGGAGCAGCTCAAACCCTGCCGAGGCAGGCAATTTCAGTGTCAGCGTCAGAGCTGAGCTTAGGGCGAGGCCCCATTCTGCCATGAGGGGACTCAGCAACAGAAGAACTGGGGCCCGTGGGGTGGAGGGCCTTCTGTGCTGTAGCCTGGTGGCAGTGTGTCCATCTTGCAGCCCATAGGCCACATGCAACCCAGGGTAGCTATGAACATGGTCCAACACAAAATCATAAAATAACTTAAAATACCGTGAGGATTTCTGGTTGGCTTTTTTGTAACTCCCATAGTTCCTGAGTCTGAACTCTGTAGATGACAGTGTTGTGCCACAACATCAAAAGGTCAGACATGCTTGGTTGGATAGTGTCATTAACCCCACTCTACAGATGGGAAAACAGAGAGAGGTTAAAAAATTTGTCTCGTGCCCCAGAGCCAGGAAGATAGAGAGTTGGGGCCTGCGGCCTCTCAGTCTGGCAGCCTGGTCGCGTAAGCACTCCAGTTGACTGCCTCTGTTTGCTGGACTCATGAGTGTACTCATAGATAGGAGTGAAGTGGGAGACATTCCCTCCCCCACAACCATGGCCAGGGACGAAGGTCTGGAGGGCTGGTAGGGAACCACAGCTCCCAAGTCTGGAGTTAGTCTCCAGAGGTGTCAAAGGCCTGGAGCCAGAATGTTCATGTTCCCCATGTGCCCCTCTCCTAGGGCGTATGTCTTTCGGGCTCAGAGCGCTGAGATGAAGGAACGAGGGGGCAACCAGACCAGCGGCATCGACTTCTTCATTACCCAAGAGCGGATTGTGTTCCTGGACACGCAGGTGCTGGCCCCCAGCTGCCTCTCCCATTCATCTCTGCACGGTGGCCTGAAGGGTCTCTGAGCAGCATGCCTTAAGTATGGCTTGGGGTCTGTATGGGTCTGGGTCCTGAATTTTAACCTTACCAGTTGGTGACTTGAAGTTTAACGCCCCCCCCACCTGTTGTTCACCTGTAAATGGGGTGCAGGCTCTCCTCAGCCTAATGGAAGTGGCAAAGTGCTTGGCTACAACCTGGCCCGAGGATCTTGCCAGGCTTGTTGCTGTCGTGGGGACTGACCTGTCTCACGTTTGCCCAGCAGGCTCCTCAACCTGGCATCAGGAGTTGTGGCTTGACTCCTTCCAGCTGCTGTCGTCAACCTGGGGAGCCGTCACCAGCCCCTCCACGGTTCTCTCTCTGGCTCCATTCATCCTCTTCTCTTGACCTGAAACCACCTCGGTCAAGTCCATTAACATTTCCACCCGAGTTTCAAAAATGGAGCTAGCGCTCCCAGGGTCCTTGAGAGGTTTCAGAGTTCAGACAATCCTGTCCTGGTGACAGTGCCGTCACAGCTAGGCTAACCTTGATGCTCTTAGCTGTTAGTGTCCACTGTTGGCCAATGTGCCTGGCTAATGCTTCTCCTCCAAAGACTCCCATGATGTGTGGTGGAAATTCCCAGCTCTGGTGCCACTGTCGCACTGTGAGTTGTTGGCGTGTGTGAACATTCCGCACCAGGTGTTGGGCCTGGCCCAGAGTTGATACTCAGGCTCTCTGGGTTTTGATGACACAAAGTGGAAAACTTACAGCGTGAAGAGTCCCAGGTGCCCAGTCCTGTGCAGGGACTACAAGCAACCCTGGCTGCCGGCTGGGTCAGAGAAGAGAAGGGGGTCAGCAAAACAAGGCCACCAACCCTGCTTGGGGTTTGGTATCCTAGAAAGTAAACAAATCGAAAATTCCAAAAGAATCCACTGACTGCGGTTAGCCAGTTAGTCTGATTTTGCTTGGTGTTTTCAGCTGAATGTCCCTTTAAGAAAAGCTTTGCAGGCTCACCATGGATTCTTTTACATGCACTGATGCAATTTGTAAATCCTCACCAAGTTTCACACTAATCATTTTTTGACCTAAGTAATTATCTCAGCAAAGCTTTGAAAGCCTGTGAAACAGCCAACAATAAAGAATCCAGTAGGGACGGGACTCATTCAAGTACTTGGGGATTTTATCAGCACCACGAGGTACCTGGCCTTGGGCGCACGCTTGAGAACAGCTATGGTTGGTTTGTAAAGGTGCTGGGGAAGATGGATCTGCTTTGATACTGTCGTTAGCCCCCTCTCGCTGACCACCAATGCACTAATTAGAATTGACCCTCTGTGCTACTGGTCTCACTTGAACCTCAGGCCGCATCTCATCTCCCTCCAGCCTTTGGAACTTGCCAGCCCCGTGCCTCATATTAACCTCTCCCTGGTTCATTTCCTGCAGCCCATCCTGAGCCCCTCCATCTTGGATCACCTCATCAATAATGACCGCAAACTGCCTCCAGAGTACAACCTCCCCCACACTTACGTGGAGATGCAGGTGAGGGAGTCGAGTGGGCCTTTCAGGATCTGCACTGCAGCTGAGCATGGTTGCTTTCATTGGCTGCCCTGGGGCTAGCCTCAGACAGTCAGTTCCCAACCCTCCCCGACAAGCCTCATGTTTCCCTGTGTAAGGCAGGGTGCTGCTTTTTGCCTGTGACTGTTAAGGAAACAGGCCACCCAGCGTATGCACATAGAAGGCGACTGAAGGCCCTTCCCTGCTGCACCTTGACTATGTCCTGAGATTGGGCCTGGTCCCGGCAGAAGAGCCCTCACCCCAACCCTTTGCCCCCACAGTCACTGCAGATCGCTGCCTTCCTCTTCACTGTCTGCCACGTGGTCATCGTTGTGCAGGACTGGTTCACTGACCTCAGTCTGTACAGGTGAGGAGCCACTTTGGGGATCAGGCTGAGCTTCAGACCCGACTCTCACAGTCCCACCTGGCAGCCAGCCGAGGGACCCTGTTGAAACATACATGGCAACAGGTCATCCCCCCTTGAGCTCCCTCAAGGCATCCCCGAGTGCTTACTCATTGACTCCACTGACTGTTATATAGAGTGAAGCACACAGTCCTTCTCATGCTGCCTTATGGGGTCCTCCAGCATCCAAGAAGGACGTGGCAGGCCTCTGGCTCTTCCTCCTGTAGCTCAGGACTGGGGTGCTCCTCTTGCACTCCTTGTCCCTGGCTGGAAGCTCTTTTCCTATAGGTCCTCTCAGCTTCCCTCCTTGTGCTGTCCAGGCCAGTCTTGGGCCTCCCCTAGCTGACTGCCATAGTATTCCCTCTCCACCTTCCTCGTCCACACTGTGCCTGCCTCTCTGAAGGGAGACAACAGGTCTGCTGCACTCTGGAATGCAGGGTCCCAGCCCTGCATGTGGGGCCTGGCACAGGCAGACACTGAGTGTGGATTTGTTGAATGAAGAAAGGTCAGGAGCCCTGGTCCATTGGGTCCTTGGAGTTTGTCCTCCAGCTCCTATAGACAGGTGTACTTTCTCTCTAGTCCCTTGGCAGGCCATGGGTCCCGGGGAGAGTCTTACCTGGGCAACTTTGGGCCCAGCAGAGCAGAGGGGAGAACTGGGGTGAGAAGCAAAATATCCCCAAAGTTAGGCAGCCCCTGAGTTTGGATCCCAGCTCTCTCTGGGTATGGATCTACATTCCTCATTCTGTGAGGCTGAGTTAACTCAGACATCCAGCACAGTACTCAGAACACAGGAAGCACTCAGTTAGAGGGAGCCACTGTTAAGATTAGCACTGGAGATGGGGCTGAGTCAAGGGTCTGGCCAGCAGCAGAAAAAGACTTGCCAGGAAGCAAGGTGTTGTGACCAGACCTGAGTGACGTAATTCTGAACATCCCCTCCTACCGTCCACCGGGGTTCATGCACACAAGTAAATGACAGAACCGTGCACCAGGCGCTGGGGCACAGGCATGAAGGAAACAGAATGGGGCTCGTGTGGGGTTCTTGATCTGGGCTGTAGCTCGGGACCTATGGCAGAGCTGGGTTTTGAGGCAATTTTCTGTGGTTGGGCTCTAGAACTGTGGGCAGGTGTCGTGTAGAAGAGTGCCCACATGTTTAACAGGTCTCAGTTCCCTTTGCACACAGGTTTATTTTATTTACTGTTACACGCCTGGGAAATTTGCTTTAAAATAGCACAAAGTGAAAACAGGCCCACACAAAGCCCTGCACGTGGGTTATTTATAGCAGCTTTGTTCATAGTGGCCACAGCCCGGAAGCAGCTGTGCCTTGTGTAGGTGAATGGATGAGGAAGCGATCCAGACAATATGGTATTATTCAGCGCTAGAAAGAAACTATGGAGCTGTGAAAGAACGGAGGAGCCTCCATAATGGGATTGTGAAGTGAAGGAAGCCAGAGTGGGAAGGCTGTCGAGTGAGCGGTCCAGCCTGGAGACAACTAGGAGAAGGCGAAGCAAGAGACGGGACAGGGCTGGGGGCTGGCGGGGTAGGTTGGGGTTGGGGAGACTGAAACTCTGGAGCTGTGGTGGCTGTGGTATGCTCCACCCGGTGTGGCCCACATGAAGGGTGGACTTGGTGACAGGTGTCAGTGTGTGGCAGGCAGTGGTGACCCCACTCTGCTGTGGTGCTGCTTGTGGTAGGCAGTCTGTGGGGAGGCACATGGGACATTGGGACCCCACTTTCTGTGAACCTAAAACTTCCAAAAAGTTGGTTTTGGGGGGGTTTATTGGTTTTATTGCTGGTTTGGTTTGCGTTTGGGGTTTTTGTCAGGGGGAGGTGTTGAGACTGAGTCTCTAGCCCATGCTGGGGGGTGGTGTTGAGACTGGGTCTGTAGCCCATGCTGGCCCCACATTCCTGGACTCAAGGAATCCTCCTCCTGCCTCAACTTCCCAAGTGACTGGGACTATAGGCATGTGCCACCACACCAACTGTTGTTTGCTTTTGTTTTTTGGTTTTGGTCTTTTTTGAGACAGAGTCTCCCTGTAGCCCCAACTGGCCTGGAACTCACTATGTAGACCAGGCTGGGCTTGAACTCAGAGAGATCTGCCTGCCTCTGCCTCCTGAGTGTTGGGATTAAACGTGTGCACCACCCCGCCCTGTGCTTTTGTTTTTTTAATAAGGAAAACTCAAATTTTGCACAGTTGACACAGGCGTCCATGGATTCCTGTCTTAACTCTAAAATTTCATGACAAACACTGACTGCAGTGCTCATCAGACTCTCAAGGAGAGTCCTCCTGAGGGAAGGTGGTACGCATGCACAACCTCAGCCCCACACTCCAAATCTGCAGGTTCCTGCAGACGGCGGAAATGGTGAAGCCCTCCACTCCGTCCCCCAGCCACGAGTCCAGCAGCTCCGCAGGCTCCGATGAGGGCACCGAGTACTACCCCCACCTGGGTGAGAGCCACGGGGAGTTGGAGGGGGAAAAGGACTTGAGATTTGGGAAGCCCAGGAGTCAGAGGAATTAGCTGTGACTTCTCCAGTCCCTGCCATCTCAATTCAGCCCCAGTCACCAAGCCTGGGTCTGGCTCCATGTCAGAGTGGGTCTGCAGTTTCTGGGTCCTGGGCATCTTGGCTGGGGAAAAGAGCTGGGTTCCTGTACACACACACACTGTCCCCCTTGTCCTGGGCAAAAGAGCTGCGTTCCTGTTCTCTCCTCTTTCTCTCTCTCTCTCTCTCTCTCTCTCTCTCTCTCTCTCTCTCCCTCCTCTTTCTCTCTCTCTCTCTCTCTCTCTCTCTCTCTCTCTCTCTCTCCCTCCCCCCCCTCCCCTCTCTCCCCTCCCCCCTCTCTCTCTCCTCTCTCTCCCCCTAGTCTCAGGCATTACTAAGCCCTTTGAGCCTCCTGCCAAGCCGCTGATCCCACACCTGGCCTCATCTCTTTCCAGCAAGCTGGGGCCCTTAGATGGTGGAGATCAGATTTGACTTTTCCCTGGGTGCTCAGCACCACCCTGCTCAGGTGTTAAGGTATAATACAGAAATAACTGAGTTAGCTGAACTGGGGAGCTCTGGGAGCCCATGAGGCCAAGTGCTGTCTGCCTCACAGCTGCACTCTTCCCCCACCCCCCCCAGTCTTCCTGCAGAACAAGGCACGCCGGGAGGACTTCTGTCCCCGGAAGCTGCGGCAGATGCACCTGATGATCGACCAACTCATGGCACATTCCCACCTGCGCTACAAGGGTAAGGCTCTCCAGCAGCCTCCTAGTTCCTGGTACCAGGGCAGAGACCCCCTGTGAGCCTTCCTGGCCCTGCCCCTGGCTGCCAGGCCCCCACTCGTGATGGCAGCTTGGGCTGCAGGCTGAAGCGTCCACTCCCCAGGTCTGCTGTCCATGCTGCAGTGCAACGTCTTCCCGGGGCTGCCACCCGACTTCCTGGACTCCGAGGTCAACTTGTTCCTGGTGCCTTTCATGGACAGTGAAGCCGAGAGCGAGAACCCACCAAGAGCAGGTGCAGTTACCCCTCAGGGCGTCTGGACCACAGGGAGACCGCCTACCCTGGACTAGGAGAAGACCCTGGCTTGTCACCTGGTCCTAGGACCCTTTCTCAGCATGTTTGAGTTGTGAAGATTCCTGAAGATCTGGGCCAGGGCTTAACTCTGAAGTGCCCACCCCGTTTCAGGGCCTGGTTCCAGCCCCCTCTTCTCCCTGCTGCCTGGGTACCGTGGTCACCCCAGCTTCCAGTCCTTGGTGAGCAAGCTTCGGAGCCAGGTGATGTCCATGGCGCGGCCACAGCTGTCACACACAATCCTCACTGAAAAGAACTGGTAAGAGTTCTGCAGACAGAAGTGCATTTAAGAGTCCCAGCTAGTGCAGCCTGGAAGCTCTCAGGTCTGGGACCTCCATAGCCCTGTTCTCCAGGTCTTACTGATCTGCCTCTGCCAGGTCCATCTTCTATGGACCTGGGGGCTGTGGGTCTTACAGATTTTTCTGATAGAAATATAGGGCCTAGTAGCTCAGGCCTATAATCCTCATACCCAAGAGACCAGGGCAGAATTGTGAGTGCAAGGCCAGCCTGGTGTAAAGTGAGACTGACTGTCTCAAAGAAAAAAATTTAGGCCGGATGTGGTGGCACACTCTTTTAATCCCAGTACCTGGGAGGCAGAGGCAGGTGGATCTCTGTGAGATCAAGACCAGCCGGTCTACATAGTGAATTCTAGGATAGCTGGGACTACTGGGAGACCCTATCTCAAAAAAAACTAAAAAAGAAATCTAAGTGTCACATGGCAAGGTCATGTACCAGTGGCGAGGTGTCCCTACCCAGGAGAAGGACCTGAGAGCCTGGTTAAGCTTGGACCCTTTGAAGTGGTGAGTGACAGAGCCCAGCTGGCACCAGAAGTGGAGCAGAGTCATGGGAGCTGCGCTCAGCGGCTCCACCTCGGTCTCCCTCCTCCCTACCTGCTGGTGCCCTCCCTCCCTGTGTCCCCTACTTCACACAAGTCTGTGTGCAGAGCCCACAGAGAATGGGCCCAGGCTGCCGCCCCCACATGGAAGTTGTGAGCATGACAGAAGTCTTTCCTGGCACGGGTTCTCTAACCTGGGTCTGGAAGTTCTGGCATTTGGCCAGGGCAGTGGACCAGGAGCCTGTACTCACTGGGTACAATACCAGCTCTACTACCGCCTTTGACTAAACCTGAGGGGAGGACCTGACCACTGAAGGCTTTGCAGCTGCTGTTCAGTGTTTCCCCCATCTCAGTGCCCACCACAGCTGGCCCTGAGCAGGGACTTGGGCCTCCATCCCAGCCCCTCAGCTGTGCTTCCCAGGAGAGGACAGAGAAGCAGGGCCACTCCATGTGGGCTGGTGCCACTGCTGTATCCCATTCTAGGGGACCAGCTGCAAGAAGCTCTGTCACACACTACCTGTTCCTTGGGCCTCAGTTTTCCACCTGCCTGGAGCTTGTGCTGGGCTGTGTGGAGTTGTGTGGGGCTGCCCTGATGTCTGTCTCCCTCCCACAGGTTCCACTACGCTGCCCGCATCTGGGATGGGGTGAAGAAGTCCTCCGCCTTGGCAGAGTACAGCCGCCTGCTAGCCTGAGGGCAAGGGAAGAGCAGCTCATAGGAAGCTCCTTGTCCTGCGGACAGTCTGTGGACAGTGAGGGGCACACACAGCCATCCCAGAGGGGAGAGTGGCAGAGGCCTGGCAGAGGGATCAGGACTTCTTGCCCAGAGATGTGAGGTGTCCGAAGCCAGCCCCTCTGATGGGGTGCTATTGAAGGGGTAACTAAGAGATCCCACCCCAGCCTGGGATGAGCAGCCCGTCCCAAGCCCCCACAGGGACAGGCAGTGGGAGGAGTCAGAACAGTCCCCAGAAAGCCTGGCCCCACTCAGGTTCAGGATTCCAGGCCTTCCCTGGGGTAGGTGGGGTCTGAAGAGCTCTGATTGGGCAGATCTGGTGGTTTAAATAAACTCTGTCATGCAAGCAGGCTCTGATGCCAGTTTCTTCCCCACTCAGCATCCATCCTGCAAAGCAGGGCCAGTGATCTGTCACTAGAGCCTAAGCTTTCCACAGGGCTAGGAACAGGAGGGGCAGAGTTCCTAGGAGCAGATAGGAACAGTAGGAAGGACCCCCCCCCTGCCCCGCCCCGCCACCGCCGCCAGGGTAGCCTCAAGCCTCTGTCTGTGTTCAGGATAGGATGGTTCAGCATTGGGCTAGAGTGCTACATTGCCTGCCCTCTGGTTCCATGTCTAGGTAAATGTAATGCCTAAATTGAAAAAATAAGTGTGGCGCTCAGCCTGTAATCTCAGCACTCAGGAATAGAGGCAGGAGGATCCGAAGTTCAAGGCCAGGCCAGGCATGGTGGTGCACCCTTTTAATCTCAGCTCAGGAGACAGAAGGCATCAGATCTCTTGTGAGTTTGTTTGAGGTCAGCCTGGTTTACATAAGGAGCTCCAGCCTACCCAGAGCCATATAGACCCTGCTAAAAAAACAAAAACAAAAACAGTCAAGGCCAGCCTCAGACAAAATTGAGACAGCCTGGGCTTCATGGAGACCCTATCTCAAAAAGCCAAACCAACAAAGGAACTGTCCTTAGTGTGCAGTGCTTGCCTTTAGTCTCCCCTTCCGTTCCCTTCATGGATCTCACAACTCCTGCTTAGGAGCAGCAGTCCTGGCCTTCAGATCCTGAGGCTGTGCCCTAAACTACTCCCATGTGGTTCAGTGTTGTCGGCTCCTCTGCTCACTTCATGCATGGTACAAGATCTCCGTTCTCCCCAAATGACGTATTCAAATTGCCCTGGCCAGTCCCAATCCTTAGTCACATAATGCCAGGCCACTGCCTTGCAGAGCTGTTTTCCCGCCTGCCTATCTCACTGTCCCCCACTTCCTCCTTTTAGGCATGTCCTTCCTGTCACGTCCTTATAAAGGGGTATCCTTGGGCCTCAAGCACAGTAAGTCAGGTGGGGAGTCTATGCAAGTCTACAAAGAGCAAGTCTGAGAGCCCCCGCCCCGCCCTGGCCTAGTGCCCTATTTAGGTGATTCTCCAGGTCCTTCAGAGCTGTACCATCACTGCCCTCACACAAATGCTTCCAAATCCTCTGCCATGCTCCCAATCTAAAAATCCTCCTGCTGCCCTCTGCAGCCGCGACAACTCCGTTCTTCCCTGTCAAACTTGTGCCCCAAGCCAGGCACAGTGGTAGACACCACTGGTCCCAGCACCAAGGATTTGGAGGCGGCAGAATCACAGGTTCCAGCCTTGACTGTTTGGAGGTAACTGTCTCAAAAATCCATCTCCTCCAGGGACTCTGCTGGTTGGTTCAGGAGTTTGCCAGAGCAGAGAAAGTAGGGGGCAGTAACCAAAAAAGGGCTCAGAACCCAGGATGAGAAACAGGTCAGCAACCAGGCCTCATCCTGGAAGGAAGGAACTTGAGTTCTTTCCATCCCTGACGCTACCAGGCTGGGAGTGGGTACAGCTGTGTCCTGGGGCATGCTTGGCTGCTCCCTGCCCATCCAGGCTCATGGCTTATGGGACCCACCAGGGATCGGGTAAAGGAAGTCTTTGTGTTCAATACAGTCAGAAGTACAGAACGGTGAGGGAAGTGCCAGACGTGCCCCAGGTGCCCAGGACAGTGATGGCGGAGGCACCTCTGGGAGGCTTGGTCCACAGGCCCTGTACTGCAGTGATGGTTTTGTGAGGGGCTGCTCAGTCTTTCTGACAAGGAATCAGGTCCTGAGTGACTCCCTGAGGCTTCAGTGGTCCCCCAGCCAGATGAACTGTGGAGGGAGCCCTTCTCTGAGAGGGACAGTGAGATGGCCAACATGGCCACTGGGAACACCACCTACGGCTCTGCAGTTTCCATCACCCCCAGCCAGAAGTCACCTCCAGTACAACCACAACAAGCAGGAAGACCTTTGTTTCCTTCCCACCATCCACACTGCAGGGAGGCACACCATTCTGCCTGTCCCTGCCAGTTCCCTGTGCTCAGCAATTGGAGCACAGCCCGTAGTGTAAGGATGCCAGTCCTAGACCAGGCTGCCTCTGATCCCACCCTGCCAGCTGTGTGGCCAAGGGCCAGTGACCAAACATCTCAGGGCTTGTTTTCCCATCTATAAAACAAGGTTGCTGGATCCACCTCAGGAATGTCCGCAGTGTGCTGAGTGTGAATAACACAAACGGTATCTACGTTTTTTCCTCGATGGGAGCATCTGGGCTGTCTCCAGCCGCTGAGAGGAGCTGACTTGGCAGGAAATGGCAGCTGAGAGGACTCCTCACCGAGGACTTTAGTCACACAGTGTGGCCTTGGACGACCTCTTTGCCTACTCTCGGCCTTGGAAGCTGGGAAGGTAGAATCCACCCAGCCCAGAGCCTGCACCTACAGCCAGCCAGCACAGATCTGAGGAGGTTCTGTGCTGTACGAGGCAGGAAAGTATGTGCCTATCTCGGAGCAGGTGAGCTAGAAGAGCTTACCCTGGTATTACGGTGTACTCTGAGCATCCAGGAACTGAGGCAGGAGGATTGCCACAAGTTTTAGGTCAGTCTAGGCTACAGAGTGAGACCCTAGCCTTAGGAAAAAAAGGGGGGGAAGGGGGCTGGAGAGATGGCTCAGCAGTTAAGAACACTGGCTCTTCTTGCAGAAGAGCCGGGTTTGAATCCCAGCACCCACATGGCATTTAACTGTAACTCCAGTTCCAGGAGATCCAACAGCCTCTTCTGTCCTCCATGGGCATTGCACGACACAGGTGCACTTACACACATGCAGGCAATGCATGAATACATACAAAATAAAAATATTTAAAAAGAAAAGGAGAACGGGGGCTGGCAAGATGGCTCATTGGGTAAAAGTGCTTGCTGTGAAATATGACAACTTTAGTTCAATCACTGGGCCCCACATGGTAGAAGGAGAGAACTGACTCCCACAAGTTGTCCTCTAACTTCTACATACATGTGAGTGCCCATGTACACACATACACACACGAGCACATGTACACCCTCACACACAAACTTTTTTTTTTAAAGGGGACTGGAGAGATGGCTCAGCAGCTAAAAGCACTGACCTTGTAGAGGACCCAGATTCAGTTCCTAGCACCCACATGGCAGATAACAACCATCCATAACTTCAGTTCAGGGGCTCCAGCATCCTCTTCTGGTCTCTGCAGGCACTGCATAAATGTGGTGTGCTTAAACACATGCAGACAAAACACTCATCCCTGGGCGGGTGGGCCTGTGTTGCATAAGAAAGCAGGCTGGGGAGGAGGAGGTGGGTCGCTGGCCTCCATCACAGTCCAGGGATCCAGGAAGCAGCAGCCACGGCCTCCAGTCACCACTCACTCCAGATCTCTCCACGCTTGTCCCGGGGAGCTGCGCCCCTCGACCTCCCAGTCCTGACATCCCACACCTGGACGTCCGCTCCCCCGCTGCGCTCCGAAAGAAGCAGCAGAAGTCTGGGGGAGGCCACCTCCTGGTTCCAGGAACAAGCTTTCTTCCGGTTTATCAATTGGAGCTGTACTGTAGGCAGAAGTAACACTCACTGAGAAGAACCCTTTGAATCATGGAAAAGCACAACATGCCAGCTGGGTATGGCCCTCTGTACCCACCAGCAGCATTCCAAGGACCTCCAGAACACACTGGCTACCCTGGGCCCCAGGCTGGCTACCAAGGGCCCCAAGGAGCCTATCCAGGACCCCAGCCTGGCTACCCAGTCCCACCAGGAGGCTATGCAGGTGCTGGCCCAGGTGGTTTTCCTGTCCAAAGTCAGCCAGTATACAGTCAATCAGTTGGCCCTGCAGGGGCCCCCTGGATGCCAGCACCACCACCTCCACTGAACTGCCCACCTGGGCTGGAATACTTAGCTCAGATCAGATTCTGGTTCATCAGCAAATTGAACTTCTGGAAGTCTTAACAGGCTTTGAAACGAACAACAAATACGAAATCAAGAAGAGCTTTGGACAGAGGGTTTTTTACTTCGCAGTGGAAGATGACTGCTGTATTCGAAACTGCTGTGGAGCAGCTCGACTGTCACCATGAAGATCCTGGATAATATGGGCCAAGAAGTCATGGCTCTAGAGAGACCCCTGAGATGCAGCAGCTGCTGTTTCCCCTGCTGCCTCTAGGAGATCGAAGTCCAAGCTCCTCCTGGTGTGCCGGTGGGTTACGTTACTCAGACCTGGCACCCATGTCTCCCGAAGTTTACACTTCAAAATGAGAAGAAAGAGGATATTCTCAGAGTTGTTGGTCCGTGTGTTGTCTGCAGCTGTTGTTCAGATATTGATTTTGAGATCAAATCTCTAGATGAAGAATCTCTAGTTGGCAAAATTTCGAAGCAATGGTCTGATTTTGTGAGAGAGGCATTCGCAGACGCAGATAACTTTGGGATCCAGTTTCCACTGGATCTTGATGTGAAAATGAAAGCCGTGATGCTCCGTGCTTGCTCCCTCATTGATTTCATGTTTTTTTGAAAAAACTGGAAATGAGAAGCAAAGATCAGGCATGTGGTAGTAGTTTCATGAGAAGATTCAAGGTCTGCTTAATGACTGAGACTTTCTAAAAGGAATATGCAATGCGTCTTCTTTATTGAAATAACTGTGTCAATTAACCTGTGATGTCAGTAGCTCCAGTTGTGCTAATAGGCTTTCAAATTATAGTTTATTTTCTGTATCATTGTCATACATTTATTTTTATACATTTTTAAAAGTATTTACCGTGACTTTGTGATAAAAGACATAGGAGTTTTTACATTTAGAAATGAAACTTTCTAAGAAAAAATTCTTTGAATTAAAACCTGATTCATTTTCCATTTTCATAAAAATGTAAGACTTACGATGGTGATTCAATATGATAGTACATATTATATATATTATAATTTATACAAACACCTGATGTTATTTTACAAATACTATTTAAATTTTTTTAAATGTTCCTGTTTCCTCTACCTTAGGGTTAACTATTACTCAGTATAGTCATTAGTAAGAAAACATTGCATGTGATTT